ATTAAGCAAGAAATGCCACTGTTTGGCTGCTCCGTTTCCACTGACCTCAGTGGGGAAAAACTGCTTGCCACAAATGTGGATTATTATTCCCCCAGCAGAGAATTTCTTTAAGAAAAACAGCAACAACCCCAGCTGCTTCCAAAAGTCTGTTCCTCTGTTGTGCAGAGAACAGAAAGAGAAAAGCAGCCTATAGAGCTTACTATGACCTGGTCATTAGCTCCTGTTTTATCTTAGAGGATTGGCATCTATAGAGCTTACTATGACCTGGTCATTATTAGCTCCTGTTTTATCTTAGAGGATTGGCACATCCACATATTTCCCAATATCCATCTTTCAAGAGATCAGGAGAGAAGGTGATGAAAAAGGGGGCAAAAATGTTGAAAGAACCTATTAGGTAACTACCTTACGTATAAAATGAGAAGGGTTATGATGATATAAGGCACGTCAAAGAATTGACTAAATTTTAAAAATATACTGTTTTATTTACCCTAGCTAAAATACATAAAATGAAAAAAATAGGAAATTGTCAAACTTTTCTTGCTGGTTAAATTAACCTTATAAAAGTTGAGTCTGAAAAGCACATGAAAGAAATGTTTTAATGTGGAAGACAGAAGAGGAACATATATTATGACAATAAACATCAAACTCCTTAAAAAAAAATTCAGCTCAAGGAAGTGTTTCCACAAGTAAAAAGTTTTAATGGGAGCTGGACAGGGGCATACTAGGAAAACGTGACACTGTGAGGCATGCCCACATGCAAGGGTTACAGTCTGAAGACCTCTCAGAGTGCACTCGGCACACTTGTGTCCATGATCCAGGCTGGCTGGAGCTGGGTATGGATCGTGGTGCCAAGACCCTGTCAGTGTTTTCTCTGTTTCTCTGTCAGTCTATCTTTTTGCCTGTCTGCCTGTCTCTCTCTCAGAATAAATGAACTGAAAAAAATCTTTTAGACAGCCGACTCTGTGGCCTGGTGGTTAAGGCAGCCTGATGCCACATGGCCAACGCAGAGTTTGAATCCTGGCCCTGGGGACTTGAACAACATGCCAGACATGTGTATGTGAATGCCGAAGATGCCAACAGAGTGGAGAAATGGAAAAGAACTGATTGCAGCGTGACCATGCCCTGTTAGGAGGGAGTGCTTTTTCCTTTTCTTCTGTCTCGCTTTATAGAGTGCGCACCCTCTAGCAAATTAAGAAAAAATAAACTTTTAGAAAATTTTAATGATCAGTAAGAGATGACTTGACGGATCCAAGAAAAAATATTGTGTATAAAATCGCTACGTTGGGACCAGCAGTTAGCATAATGGCTATGTCGCTGGACTCCCATGTAGTCAACTGCGGTTCGCGTCCTGGACCCAGTGGCTTAAAACTCATGCCGGGCATGTGTGCGTGCATGCCCAAGATCCCAAGAGGAGAATGGAGGAGAAGGGACTGTGGCGTGGCC